AGCACACGATGGTTGCGGGACTATCCATGATGGTCGCAGGGTCACCCACGATGGTTGTGGGACTACCTCCGGCATGCCTGTGATTTTGCAAGCAGGGCTCAAATGTATGAATTCTTTCATAATGGCTCAACCACCTTCAATTTTCTTTCAGATTTAAAATACAGCAGTGTAGCCTGGCATGGTGGTGAACATCTACAACCCCAGGACTGCAAGTTCAAAGTCAGCTTGGGCTACATGATGAGACCAACCAACCAACAAACAAATAAACAAACTTGTGAAATACAGCAAAGCTTCTGCCCAGCATGGTGGCTCACACCTGTGATCCAAACACTCAAGGGCCATGGGAGACAGGCGAATCTTAAATTTGAGGCCAGCCTATGCCACATAGTAGAACCCCATCTTGGAAAAATGTGTGTGTGTGTGTGTGTGTGTGTGTGTGTGTGTGTGTGTATGCGCAAGGGTGGTAACAGCACAAAAACCTCATCACGTTATAAAAGCAGAGAAACCTTGTATAGGTGCTGTGGTGATCTGGCTTGTTCTCCAGGAGGAAACACAAAGTGAAAATACATAAGACTGCCTGGCAATGCCACACCTGAGCAGTGTGTGAATGTGCTTGTCCAGCATTATGGACATCCTAGGATGAGGATGCCTAGGAAGACAGCCATGAAGAGGAAGCGGTTCAGAGTCAGCCAAGTTGCCTTCCAGCACATCTGAACAGTCCTGCTCACTGGCTTCACGCAGTTCCCATCTCGCCTCATCTTCTGGGCCCCCCTGTGTTTGGTCAAGTCCACTTTCTACCCTGACCACACTTGCACTCTCTAGGAACCCAATGCCCCTCTTTCCCAGCTCCGGCAAACCATCTGTTCGTGTTGTCTCTTCACTGTGTTAGCGTCAATCTGGTTTGAACCAAAGGAGTACTAATTCCTTGGTTCCAATCTAACTCCACCTCTCCGTGGAAGCTCTCTCCCACACTGGTGCCCCGTCTACAGACCTACTGCTCGACTCTGTCCCCACCCCATTCCGGTGCTATCCTAAAGGTGTTCTGAGGGACATCTTCTTACACACACTCTGCAGTGTAAGCCGGGGGACCCAGGAGCAGCCTCCCAACAGTGACTTCCCTCTAGTGCCTGGCACCTCTCTGGAACAGGTCCAGCAAGGCTTTGAGTGAGCAATGAGAGATCTTTGCACAGGGATCCCTGTGTCTGTTTAAACAGTCCTAAGACCGGTCTTATCTGAAGATACGGAGCAGAAGGAGCTGCCCCCACCCTGCCCACACTGGGAATGGGATGGGCTTCGGTTTACATAACTCTGCAGCAGCAGGGCCATCGGGCTGGGCTGGGTATAAGGGCTACAGAATGTTCACAGGCACATGGCAGCTGTGCTGCCCCTCCTTTTAGAGAGCTAAATGCATCCCAAGATTGTTCCTGGGAGACTGGCTGAGTCCACTTCAAAGATAGCAAGCAGATTGTGAGGCGGGCACTTTAACATTCCCAGGGTATTTGCCAATCTTTCAGACACGTTCTTCTGCCCAGTAGGACACTCCAAAGGTCTCTGGGAAATTGTCGGTTCTACCTCCAAATATTCAGTAACAGTGGTTAAGAGGGACCCGAGGTCCCACACCAGAAATGCGTTCTCCTCACCACCCTTTGATTCTTTAGCCTCCAAAGCCTCTGCCTAACTGAGCTGGGAATGTGGGACTGGCTGCGTGCATCTGCTGGGAGAGGCTTCTGGGTCTCAGGAACATGGCAAGAATAGACAGGAGGAACGCCGGACAGAACACCCTCCCCTGGAAGCCCTCCTCATAGCTCTTCCCAAGCACTGCCCACCCTCTCCCCACCTGCTGCCCCTGCTAAGCCTGGCCTTCCCTCTGCCTCTCCAAAGACTCGCAGGAAGTGCCATGGCTCTTCGGAAGTAGCTCCAGAATGAGACAGGCAGATGGGCTCCAAATGTTTCCAAACACATGTCATTTCTAGGAACTGTCCTTCCCTCAGCCCTGCCCTGCCCCGCTAGGCCTCCACCCTCAGGTTTAACTATTCGGGGCCATGTCCTCTAGGACCCGGGCTTCTTGGAGCTTGCCACAGTAACCACCATCAGAAACATTCTCAGCACGGTGCTGAGGAACGGGGCAGTCCTGGCCCGGATCCTGGTCCCAGAAGCCAGCACACGGGGAGCTGGAGTGGGCTGCAGCCAGGTCAGCCAGCCCACATTCTCTGTGACATCAGGACAGCCTTACCTCATCCCACTCCGAGGCAAATGAAGGTGACTTCTCCAGCCGCTTCTTCCCGATGCTGCAGTTGGACAGAGACTCGCTGCGACTCCCCATGGTGGTGTCCTCCGTGGGGGAGCAGGTCAGAAGGTCGGAGTCAGACTTAGACAAACTGCGGCTGAGTTTGAGCTCCGCTTTGGGCTTGCTGGTGGGAGGGGCTCTGCTCCTGTCGTCCTCTTCCTCAGCACCAGCAGGGTGCAGAGGCACTGTGTGAGTCCACGTCTGGAGGTGTGCTCGGCTGCCCGGGGCAGGCAGGCCTGCTGGGAAGCCCACTCTCTTGCTTTGGTCCAGGACGCCGGGCTGTGGGCTTCCAGGGCCTTGCACACCCGGCTCCTCCAGCTGCATGCTGGCCTCGTGGCAGGCGTCCTGCTGGGGGGACTCGGGGTGGTTCTGGCTGGGGGCAGTAAGCAGCTGGAAAGGGTCCTGTCCCACCTCACACACTGGGGAGGAGCCGTGGAGGAGACCTGAGAACTGCTCCGGGACCTGCCCGTCCTGCCCCTCCACAGAGTCCTGGCTCCGGCTGCTGCTGCTCTGCCTGTGGTCTTGGAGTGGACAGAGAGAAATAAAAAATTAAACGTGGCGAAAATCAACAGAGTTCCTACGCAGCGCGTGATGGCAGAGCAGAGTTCACAACAGAGAGAAGAAAGAGGTTGGGAAGGCTGAGGGGAGGGAGAGGACAGAAGAGGAGGAGGAGGAGGAGGAGAACAGTTTCATATTGTTCATGTTCAATTTGTACCCAAAGTCAGGGCATTTATGAAATCCCAAACCCTGGCCTGATTAATGCTGCCTGGCAGCCATCCCCATGTCAGACCTCTGTTAACATTAGCGACCAGACCTTGCTATATAAGGCCAGGAGAAGCACTAACTACAGACAGGAAGGACACACAGAAGGACAGAGTGAGGACAGAACGAGGGACAGGGAGCAAGAGTGTGCCAGCGAAAGCGGCTCCGGGGACACTGGATACATTTCCATAAAGGCCACAGTGTTATTTAGAGCCGCCCGCCCGCCCGCCCGCCCGCCCTTCCTCTGGCAAGCAGTTAGGAGGGGAAAAGGGAGGTCATGATCACAACCTGCGACTTCTGGAATTCCTTAACTGAAAGTGCAAAACAGAACGGCGGGGGAAGTGACTGCTTCCTTTCTCCTCGGGGCCACTCAGATCCACATCCACGCCTCGTCCTTCCGCAGGAACAGACTTTTCCCTTTCTTTTTTTTTTTTTTTTTTGAGAATGTGTGCGCCTCACTCCTGCCAAGGCCTCCCAGCTGCTCATATTTGTTTAAGTTTAACCTTAGCTGATCCACTAGAAAAGGAAACAGTCTGGTTTGTCAAGCCAGGAGACAGCTGCTGCTCTCTGGAGACCTCCCTCACACCGTAGAAATCTGACACTGCTGGTTCCCGAGGCCAACTACTACCATACTCTCAAAAACGTCTGCCATGAAGTAGCGTCAATAATCGGCCAAGTCCACGTCTCACGTCAGTGCCACCCTGGGACCCCCTGTGGGAACTCAGTCCTATCACAGGTTTTCACCCACGCCGTCAGCTGAGGCAACACCACACCCGGCAGTGATCACATCCAAAGCTAATGTTCAGGCGTATCGTCTACATGCGTGGAAGTGGTACTATTCTACACGCGTGCATCCAAAGAATCCCCTGATCTGCCCAAACGGCCCAAGAACTGTTCATGAGGCCGAGCACCACAGAACAGAGTGTGTGGTTCCAGTGTTTTCACAGATGAGTACTCTGTGGCCCCAGGCATGGTATGCTTTGCCCAGGGTGGTTGGGCAGAGGTTTACCCAGGAGGAAGTACTGGCTCTGCTCCTCTCCAGCTGTGTGGCCTCTGCAGACTGGACTGCATGGTGCTTAAAAATCCCTTTACCAGCCGGGCGTGGTGGCGCACGCCTTTAATCCCAGCACTCGGGAGGCAGAGCCAGGCGGATCT